AGCCACGTGGCAGCAGTTCCGCACCGACCTGCTGAAATGTTTCGAGCCAATAAATTCCGGTTTCCTTGCTCGGAAAAAAATTCATCGCCATCGACAGTTCGGGAGTGTAGCACAATACACGCACCAAGTTCGACGGGCGGCCACGTACGAAAAACACCAACTTCACGTGTGATTTTTGCGGGGCGCCGGGCCATCGAATATTCGACTGCAACAAAATGAAAGCCGCACGTATAGAGTATCGGGAACGCAATTGTGGCGAAAATTATTTGGCCAATCAGGAGACAAAAAAAGGGAATCGCCAGTGATTGCGGATCTAGCTGGCGAAAAAGAAAAGATCCGAAAGCGGCCGCGGGATTCCGGAAAAATCAACTTCAACGAAGTTCATTCGACGCGAGCAGGAGGAAATGGTGGGGGAAAATCTCCACCCCACGACCACTCTTCGCCAGGGAAAATCGCCGAGAGAAAATCTGACACTGCGAAAAAAAAAACTCGAGATGGGGAAACTCCTAGAAGACCCAAGAAATTATAAGGATTCGTTATAGTTATCTAGTAAGATGCTTTAATGAGAACTTATGATTCGCGATGGGCTAGAGCCTTCGGGAAATTTTGGGAGGGACTCCAAAAGAACTTGGGGGAAAAACTAAGGAGTGTGGAAAGAAGCCGACCTTTCTATGGAGTGAACGTCCTCTGCCGACACTAGCCCACAACGACTACCCGTTCCTCAGGGAAGACGTCTGTGGAGGTGAAGCAACTCAAGAGGAGGCTGGGGGTCTATAAGAAGCTGCAAAGGCCCCAAACTCCTCCTTCGGATGCATCAAGTTCACCAACTTCCGCATCAGCGACACACACAGTCATCAAGGAAACTCCGGGCCCTGGGAAAGAACATTTCTCCAAGCAGCCTCGGCGAGCTGCCGGCTCAGGAATACATAGTAACGAAAAGGTGTGTACAGAATATTGGGATGTACCCTATGATCTCATTAACAAAACTATCTTTAGCTACTCCGAGCAATGCCTGCCCCTCGTGCTCGAGGTCATTTGTAAAGGACGACGCCTCTAAGCACTCGTGGACAGCAGAGCGTCACACGCCGTATGCGACAGGGCAGCAATCGACCAACTTCAGGAAGAGTACAAGCCTTCAGCATTCTCTGCAACGATGGTGGATGGCAGCAAGTTACCAGTCCACGGTGAAGCAGTGTTACACCTACAAATCGGTCCACTGCGCTGCAGACCTGCACTCCCCATCACCAACATAAAAGGGCTTGACTTGATCTTCGGGCGAGACTTCCTTAAGAAACTCACAGGAGAAATCCCATTGGAGACACTCACTACGTTCGAGAAGAACTTGAAACGAACCGACACCGGGTTCTTGGCGATAGCAACAGATGTGGAAGATGGCGGAGAGAAAACCTCGAAACCTCCAGAAAAAGTCAAGGAATTACTGAAGGAGTTCAAAAAAATCGACGACCTTCCAAACGAGCTACAGCCATACCGAACGCACCAGCACGAGATCGTGGAAGAACCGGGTTCGAAGCCGACCTTCCGAGCACCATATCGCCTCAGCCCCACAAAGCTAGCCAACATAAAGTAACATATCGAGTATCTCCTCGCCAAAGGAATCATCCGACCATCCACTTCACCACACGGTGCCCAAGTACTCTTCACACCGAAACCGGATAGAAGCATGTGCATGTGCATCAATTACCGAGCTCTCAACAAGAAGACCATCGAGAACAAGTACCCGATTCCATGAATCGATAACCTGCTTGACCAACTTGGGGGAGCGACGGTATTTTCCAAAATAGATCTGCGGTCCGGATACTAGCAGATAAGAATGGCGGAAAATTCCTTCCACAAAACAGACTTCCGAACTCGGTACGGGTCGTACGAGTATCAGGTAATGCCGTTCGTACTCTCACCAATGCACCTGCAATACTTCAAGCCGAAATGAACCACATTCTTCGTCCACTCTTAGACGAATGCGTGGTGGTGTACGTGGACAACATCCTTATCTACTTGCGCGACATAAAGCAACAAGTCGAACACATGCGATGCGTCTTCGACCTTCTTCGACGAGAACGATTCAATGTCAAATTGTCCAAGAGCGAATTCGGCCTCAATAGTGTCCAATTCCTATGACAGATGGTGAGCGCTCAAGGAGTTCACATCGACCCAAGGAAAATCGAGGTTGTACGCATCTGGAAGACACCCGAGAACGTGAAGGAGTTGCAACAGTTCCTAGGCTTCGCTAACTACTACAACAGGTTCATGCCATAGTACGCGACAATCGCCGCACCATTTACGAATCAGCTGAAGAAAAGCACGCCTTATAAGTGGGAACCAAAACATGAGGAAGCCGTGAAGCAGCTGAAACAAACACTCACGTCTGCACCCGTACTCATCCTTCCATACCCCGAACGCGACTACGTGATCGAAACTTACGCTAGCGACCAGGCAGTGGGAGCAGTCTTGATGTAAGACCAGGGGAATGGACAGCAACCAATCGCCTACCTCAGCAAACAATTGCATGGTGCAGAACTAAACTACCCGTTTCATGACAAGGAGGCCCTTGCTATTAGCATCGCCTTCAAAACGTGGAGATGCTATTTCGAAGGACGAAATACAACCGTCTACACCGACCACTGCAGTCTGAAATATTTGAAGACACAGCCAAACCTCTCCAGGCAGCAGGTCCGGTGGATCGACTTCCTCGAGACGCACTTCCACTACGGCATCGCCATTGACCCCGAAATTCCCTTGGCAGAAAAGCGACACCTGCTACATTGGGACGGTGACATCGCGTACCGGGAAGGATCAACGAGAATATGGTTACCAAATTACTCTCCTTTGCGCCAGTTACTACTCGAATAATACCACGATGTCCTATATGCGGGATACTTCGGTAGCAACAAGACACTCACCGATATTGCAAAGCACTATTACTGGCCCCACATGGCCGAAGATGTACAGAAAAAGGCAGGACTAGTACAACCTCCTGTCCCATGGCAAATGGTTAGCCTGCACTTTATAACCGGGTTACCAACAACCACAAGCGGCCATGAAGAAATCCTCGTCGTCATCGACAAATTCTCCAAAATGGGACACTTCATCCCGACACACATGATAGCACGCACCGAGGAGATAGCACAACTATTCGTTCGCTACATCATCTCACAGCATGGCATTCCAACCACACTCATCTCCGACCGAGACCCTAAGTTCACCAGCAAGTTATGGAAGGAAATGATGTCTCTGCTCAGGACCAAACTTGCCATGTCATCCGCCTCCCATCTACAAACAGATGGACAGACTGAGCGTCTCAACCAAATTGTACAGCAACTCCTCCGCGCAGCATGCAATGATGAAATCTCTAAGTGAGACTTGCAACTACTTTCGCCGCTACTGGACATACGCCGTTCTTCCTCTGCTACAGACGCAGCCCGCTCACGCCACAGAAACCAACAGTATCAGCCACAGTCCAACCCGCACACGACTTCATCACGACCATGCATCAGCTTTGGGATTGGACCCACAAGCGCCTCCTATACATTCAGCAGTAACAGAAGCGTCAGGCCGATCGCCACCGCACTGACCATACCATCACCATGGGAGACCAGGTTCTACTCGACTCCCGCAATCTTGACATCAGTCATCTCCCATCCAAACTTCTACCTCGCTTCTGCGGGCCCTTTCTCGTCGAAGCAAAGGTCACTCCTGTTCCCTTCCGCTTACGCCTGTCAACTACCTGGAAGATTCACAACGCCTTCCATGTCCAACTTATGAAGCCCTACCAAGATCCTAACACGGTCTTCACCGGACGCCAACCGCCGCCGCTGCCGCCAGTCCTCGTCCACGACAGAGACAGAGACGCACTGGCCTCCATGAAGTCTGAGTTGCTGAGGAGACACACCTGCACTGACCTAGGAGAGTTGCGCCGCTACCTTGGCCTACAGATCTCCAGGGACAGCGCAGCGCACACCATCAATCTCACACAGTCACACTTGGTGCGCCAGGTTCTTCAGAGGTTCGGTCTTCAGTTCTCCTCCGCCAGCCCACACCTCTGCCAGTAGATTACAGGCTCTCAGCTCCTGTCCCTGAGGAGTCAGCAGAGCCTAGTGGTCCGTATGCTGAGCTGGTGGGTTGCCTCATGTACGTGATGACTTGCACTCGTCCTGATCTCGCATACACTCTCAGCATCCTAGCTCGCTTTGTGGCCACAGGCAGAGACCGACCACAGCACTAGTCGGCCGCTAAGAGGGTTTTGCGTTATCTAGCAAGTACATCGGGCATGGGGCTAGTGCTGGGAGGACACAGGGCAGTGGTCCTTACAGGACACACAGATGCTTCGTGGGCAGACGACGCTGAGACTCTCAGATCCTCCGAGGGCTATTGCTTTGGCCTTGGTGGAGGCGCCATCTCGTGGAGGTCCACCCGCTCGTCGTCTGTTGCACAGTCTAGCTGTGAGGGTGAGATCTACGCTAGTGCCATGGCGGCACAGGAGTTCAGCTGGCTGACTTTCTTGCTCACATACTTAGGTGAGCGGCCTAGCTCTGCCTCGGTCCTGTACGCTGACAACAAGGCCATGATCCTCCTGTGTCAGGAGCCTCGACTGGAGGGCAGAGCGAAGCACATCCAGCTACGGTACTTCGTCTTGCGCGAGCTACAGCAGCGCCACCAGACCCGCGTAGTTCACTTGGCCTCCGGTGCCAATACAACTGATATCTATACGAAGGCACTTGCGCCTAAAGATCATCAGCGGCACTGTGTACAGCTTGGTCTAGTTTCCGTAGCTTCTCACATGCTAGGACCTTGATTGTGTGTGTACTAAATCTTATATTATCTTGACTGACCTTGTGGCTCCTGTTCGAGTGGCTGGACTAGTAGTGTCGCCATGGGTTGCTCTTATTTCCTTTGTCCTCTTGCTGACTGGTCTTTAGACCCTTGCCTCAGAGGGTGGACTAGTGCCACCCTGAGCTGCGTGTCACGTGCTAGTCGTTGCCCCTTGTCTAGCATAGGGGGTGTGTCAACATATATTTGTATATGTTTTAGGCTAGATAGGTGCATGCTCATAGAGAGTACTACTCAAGACAAAACCACCCTGTATCACTCATTCTAGCTAATTCGTTACCCTGAGACCGCATTCAATGAGCATAAGAAAGGTGAGTTTCTTGGAATGGGCATCGTATGGCTCGTCGCCAAGGGAGGTACTTCCTGTGCTCTCAAAACTTTTGGTGGCATCTAGGACTGCTCATGATTTCCAAGTGCCCGTTGCATTATCACTTGTCAGGTCATTAAAAGTCTCAACAACACACTTCGCCAATGTCAGGACTGAATATTCCACAATGACCTGCACACACAAAAAGCATCGTTTAAGGGTGAAGATGAACATTTTTTTAAAGGTCAACAGCATAGCACATTGGTTGGTGCCATTCATAGCAATGTTGCAAATTCGTACCTCCATGTATGCGTCCATGGTTGGACGAGGCCTGGCGAAATTGGCATAGCCATCATACCACATGGTCCCAGGGTCCCACAGGTGCTTGAAATCTTGCAGCAGTCGGATGTCATAGAGGCTCTTTAAGGGATCAAAGAAGCCTGTCGTATTCTCATTCGTGGCAATGTACAGAGTGCGTCCAGGTGCAACGAACCGGGGCAGCTTCTCCAGGAGTCTGCAGGTGAGAGGCGAAGGGGAAGGAAAGAGGGGTTCGGGGCAGGGCAAGGCGTTGAAGCATGTGGGAACGCCAGGATGGCATGGCGGGGTGAGGAGTGCGATGCGGGCATTTTGCACAGCAACACAAGGCACAGGAACAGCTGATACAGTGACTCGCATGGCATGCAGTGCGTTGGTGTATAAACCCCATGTGCATGCTTCCTGCATGCATGGTCCCATCAAGCGGGCCGCATGCACGACACATCCATCGTGGGATTTTCTCATGGCTGGAGATGCGTTACATCTGATGACATGCGACGAAATTATTTCAATGTAAATACATGATGTCCGTGGAGGGGAAGGGGTGCCAGGGGAAGAGGGAAGGAGAGGGCTCGGGGGGGAAGGGGTGGGGAGGTGGGTAGGGGGAGGGGGAGAGTGGCCAGCCCAACTTACGCTGCTGGTTGTGTGTCGTTATCCAGGTGCGGCCACAGGCGAGGTTTCAGCTTGTCCCCGCGCCTCACATGCACGGCGTCATAGCCACCCCCGTGCATGGACCGGGACATGTTATTGACTCTACTGCAAAGCCCAACTCACGCTGCTGGTTGCGTGTCATTATCCAGGTGCGGCCATAGGCGAGGTTTCAGCTTGTCTCCGCGCCGCACATGCACGGCGTCATAGTCACCCCCATGCATGGACTCTGACATGGTGGCAGCCAGCGCCAGCAGCTCCGGTCGAAACTGAACCACCTCTTCTGCGGGATTGAAGGGCGTTCCTGGCATCTGAGGGGGTGGAGGACGGGCAATCGCAAGGGGCAGTGGAGTGGCATAGCAAGAGCCGTAGTCAGGATGAAAATCCCACACGCACGTTGAACTCATCGTGTTGTAGTCACCCCCGTGCATCCACTCTGAGATGTTGGCAGTCAGCGCCAGTAACTCCAGGCGGAACTGGACCACTTCTTACATGGGCTTTAAGGGCGTTCCTGGCATCTGCAGAGAGTTGGGGCAGGGTTAGCAAGAAATTGACAGGCCTGAAACGCATTGCGTCAGAGCCACCCCCATGCCCGGACCGTCACATGGCAGTAGCCAGAGCCAGCTACTCCAAGCCAACTAAACCAAAAAGGGCGGAACCCAACCTCCTCCTGGTTGACCTCAAAGAGTGTCCCAGTAGCGTGCAGCTGCGCGTACTGGGGGGGAACAGACCCTTGAACATCTTCCAGTGAGCGCAGTGACGGGAGTAGGTTTAGCAAGTAGCGTGCAGCAGCCATAGCGTGCAGCTGCACGTACTGAGGGGGGATTACCTCTCTGGGGGGGATTTGGCAAGCGGCTCACCTTGCACGTACTGTAGCCAAACGAAGTTTCACGAATGATCAGCGGTGTGACTGAATCAAGCGCCACTGTAGCAGTAGAAGCCTCTCGCCTCACCACACGCACCCCAAACGACGGCCTCCCCTTCTCCCTCTCCCCATTCTTCCCGTTCTCCCTCCCCCCCTTCCCTCCCCCCCTCTGCCTCTTCTCCCTCATTCTCTCCCACGCCAACGCTTTCCGTAAAAACCCCTGAAGAGGGGTGAAGGGCGCCCTGGACAGCAAGGCACATGGGGCGGGCGGGGATGCATGAGGTGAACCGTTAGCTGGCCCTGAAACTCCTGATTCGGACTGACGAGTACCCCTGACGAGGGGTGAAGGGCACTTGGAAACCAGCGCACATGGGAAGCGGGACACATAAGGCGAATCTTCAACATACTCAGGAAACCCTGAGTCGGAGAGACGAGTACTCTAGTGAAATAATGGGTACCGGGGATGGGTAAGACCAGACCTTCTGGTCGAATGGGAAGCGCCTGAAAGGGGATGAAGGGGCGGCGAGAGTCTCAGGCAGGCAAGGAGGTGAGAACGGGGACACATGGTGGAAACGCGTCTCTTTGCGATGGAAGAAAGGGGAATTTGTGACGGAATAGTGCTGGAATTCTGAGGGTAAGTACTTGAACCGCCCTACTCGATTTGAAACATCGACTTACTTGATCGACGAGAGGTCGAAGTGCTCGTGCAGAGCTTTGTACACGAATTTCCCGTTATTGTGCACTTGGTTGAGGCACACGCGCATGTCAAGCACCAGCGTCCGGTTCAGATGCCGAGCCTCCTTGATTCGGCACGATAGGCTGGTTCGGAAATGCTTGATTCCCGCGCACATGTCTCGCTCCCCAGTCACAAACAGGTACTTCCGGTCAGGATGAAAATAATCCCGCCGGCTGACCGGCAGCCACCCCGTCTCCCACTTGACTTGATGGAAAACTCTCAACCGTTGGAATATCAGAGGGTCATCCAGAGAACTAATCATGTCCGTTGCTTTCTCTAGCGGCATGAGCGAAGAGGCTCGAGGATTTTGTGATCTGATCTGCTGTGCGGCCTGGCCTTGAGGCCTTTGAGATACTGCTCGCAGGTGCGCTCCTGAATCCAACGGCGCGACCTTGGCGATGTCATTTTGCAACGATGACGACGATAACGACGTCGGCGACATATTCGACGAGGCTGAGAACGACGACGACGACGACGACGACGACGACGACGGCGACGACGCCGACGATGCCGGCGACGACGGCGACACGAGCAGCGCTGCGTAACCTTGCGACGAAACGCTCGCCTTGTGCGATGGCTGATCGAGCGCACCCAGATGCATCGGTCCTTCTGAATGGAACGACTGGAAGTCCTTATCGGTGCCGTCTGTAGCGCGAACGCCTGCTGTGGAAGCTTTGATCCTTAACGGCCATTGCATGGAAGCTTCGGAAGCTTGGATGGGAGATAAGGGAGGGAAGACGACGAGCACGACGGCTAGAGCGAGGAGTACAGCAAATGCGATCAGCGTAATTCGCGTGCGAGCGCGATTGGCGGCGGAGAACGCGGAGAAGGCGGAGGGATCGAAGAAGGTAGATAAGGGGGAAGATCGATCTGCGGTGGGAAACTGTTTGGTGCCACTGGTATCCTGCGACGGAGATTGGGCGTGGTAGATTCGCTGACTGGCGGGAGGCGAATGGTTTCCGGGCGTCGGCGATGATTGCTGTTGGGAGGGTGCATTCAAGTTGACCGTGGGGACGAGGTCGTCTAGTCGGCAGTCTGATGTGCAATATGATGAGCTCGAGGATTTGGAAGGCGGAGACGACCCAGCCAGTGCCATGTTGAACCTCTAAGCTCGTTGAAGAATGTCCAAGCTCGTCCAAGAACGTCCAAGCTCGTTAAATCTCCAAGTTAATAAGTACTGTGAGCTCTAGGCTCATTTTATAATGACTATGCCGTTGAGCAATTAGGCGGTTATCGGGTGATGGGAAGGATTGGGATCAAGTCTGAATGGGAAAGGCTACGGCACGTAAATGCTCGGAAACTCACGCTCGAACAGTCCACTGAACCTGATGAATGAATCATGCTCTCTGAAGCAACAGCGGACGCGTGCTTCTCGCCGTCAGCCGGCATGCAAGTAAGTAGATGCACCTATCTCCCACTCTGAGATTACAGACGACGAACATGCGGCCTTGACAGGGAATATGCCGCCTTGACGCCGACTTCAGCCTTGGGGATGTGAAAGATCCGCCATGGATTTGGCATGCCTAGGCACCATATTTGGCATGCCTAGGCACCATATTTGGCATGCCTAGGCACCATATTTAGCCACCATCTGCCTAAATCTGACACCATGGAACACCACATATCGGGCTATAAGGTTCAGAACAACAATTATTCGTTAAACAACGGTACAAAACGTTACAGTGTGTTGAAAGCGAACGTAGCGGGAGAGGCCCCACCAAACCAACCTGAGCGATACGCCCTGACCTGACGTGCTTCGGCGGCGTTTCATCCAATTGGGCTAACGCGGGTGCTGCCAGCCAACGTCGGAGCAGACACGAACCATATGAGGCTGGTTCGAACCGAGCAGAAGCGGGAAAAACGAGGGAACCTGGTTCGGCACTGCGACGCGCGAGCCCCGCGGGCGTTCGGAATTTCTGACACGGGCCAAGGGAAGAGTTTAGGGTGTGTCCCCCGCGTACATTTCTCGCTCAATAGCGACGGGGGGGGGGCACATGGGGCCGGCTAGGACGGGCACGACGGCACTAGGGGCCGGCCAGGAACGGGCGCGCGGGGCGCGACGGCGCTAGGGACGGGCGCGAGGGCGCAAGGGGCCGGCTAGGAACGGGCACGGGGCGGCTAGGGCCTAGGGCGGAAGCGCGGGCAGGCTAGATGGACCTAACATACCTATATCTATTGATACATGAGAATGAAAATAACTTGAATGGAGAGTAAAAGGAGTATAACCTATAAGGCACAAACCTGTACAGTCTATACAAAAATAATATATGTTTGACACTATTCTCCCATACCACTTTCAGCTCTTGGACACTCGTCTTGAAGTATCATCTCATGCAGCCGCTGCAGCATTGACCAAGGCATCGTTGGCATCTTGGCTCAAAGCCCAGAAGAACCACCCTCCAAAGCCTTCCGCCTTGGCATAGTTAACCTTGGTGGTGATGGTGGAAGGGTCGTCGTAACCAACCCACTGGTCACCGTTCACCGCATACATGGATGACGACGGGGTATCAAGTGTAGCCGTGTAACCTCCAGTGGTTACCAGCGGCTCAATTTCCTCGTAAAAGAGGATGCCAGGTTCCTGTTGGTAAGGTGCAGGGGAAACAGATAGTTAAAGTAAGGGTGTGACAAGAGTTTTAAGCAACATACCTAATTCGACAACACTGATAGACATTTAGCACATACAAAAAGTCGACAGCTAGGAAAGGAGGAGAATTCCTTTTATCCAGGGAGCGAGGAGGGGGTGGGGGGGGGGAAGCAAGAAGAATAGAAGAGGGAGGGAGGAACAGCGAACTAACCTGACTGATGGGCCCAGCCTGACCAGCACCAGTGGCAGCAGCTCCAACCCCAGTATCACTCGTCGAGGCAAGAGTCCAGGTTCGGCCATACATCGCCAAGCCTAGCATGGCCTTGCTTGGGGACAAACCTCGGGTGATCCAGGCAGCCATGGCGCCCTTGAGGCTGAGCTGCGGGTTGCTTGGATCCTCCAGAGCAGTCTGCATGCCTGTCTTCAGCTCCCACGACCCGTGGATATCGTACGTCATCACATTAACAAAGTCCAGGGTTTTGTCAAGCGTCGGAACCTCGTAGGCGTCGTTGATGGTCGGCTCGTAGCAGGATACCGCTGCGGAAAGAAGGAGCTTCTGTTTCCCTGACGAACCAGCTTCGGATTCGATTGCTGCCCGGAAATCGGTGAGCAGGGCGGAGAAGAGGGAAGCCTGGCCCGTGGGGTACTCCCAGTCAAGATCTAAGCCGTCGAAGTTGTAAGTGCGGGCGAGGGAGATTGCGGATTGGATGAAAGCGGAGCGGGAGGATTCGGAGGAGGCGGCGTTGACAAAGACATTGGTGCCGGCAGAGTAGCCACCGATGGAGAGGAGGGTTTTAAGTGACGGGTTGGCGGTCTTAAGGGCGGAGTTAAAGCTCAGGTAGAGGCCCTGGTCGACGTCCACAGCACGGTCGGATGGGACCACCTGGATTGGCAGAGAAGAAACACAGGAGACCATTTAAGAGAAGGGGGGGGAAGGGGCAAAAAGAAGGGATGATGGGACGAAAAGGGGCGGGGCAAGAAAGTGTTGGAGCCTGACCTTCAAGGGGGGAAAACGGTGTGAAACTTGGGACAGGACTGCTAAAAGAGCCAGGGTCTGACCTAAAACAGCGAGCGTGGTGAGCTGGCGAAAGCCTTGCAGTGCCTAGCATGGGGGACAGGTGCGAGCCCACTGTACCTCGTATGTGGTGGCGTCGACGCTAGCAAAGGCGTAGAAGACATGTGTGAGCGAGGCAGCAGGCACGGCAGATGGGTCCATGCCCGCCCAGTTGACAAAGTACGCCATGCGGTTCAGACCAGACGGGGGCGGGGTGCCAGTTGGTGGAGGGTCCGACGTCGGGGGAGGAGGGGAAGGGGATCCGGAGGGAGGGGGATCAGGGGAAGGGGAAGGGGTCCCGGAGCATTGGGACTGGCAGCCGGAGCCGCAGTGGGAGTCGGTGGAGCCGCACCAGCCCCACTCGCTGCAGCAGAGACCGTCGGGGCACACGCTGCCGCCGTTCCCTGCTCCGCACTCCACGTCGGAACCAGAACCGGAACCAGTGCAGGGTCCGGATTGGCATTCAGCGCCGCAGTACTCGTCAGTGGAGCCGCACCAGCCCCACTTGCTGCAGCAGAGGTTGTCGGCACAAGGAACGGAGGCGGAACACTCCTGCGCACGCGCGGGGAGAGAAAGATGAGAGAGCAGCAGCAGCGCGAGCAGGCGGAGGAGGAGCGGACGCGGCGGAGGTAGGATCGTCATGGGCGGCATGGTAGCTGGCTCCCGCAATGGCCGCAGGTGGGAATGAGGCGCAGCACGATGGCTTGATGGAATTTGCCTCAGAGAATTCAAAAATAGGATGGTCTAAGAAAATCGCTGAGGTTCGAGTTGACGTGGAAACGAATGTCTAAACTGACAACTGCTGTTGGAGATCAGGAAGGTGGGAGGATGAGTTGAGAAGACTTTGGAGTCGACTCAGAAGTCACCTCGGAAAGGTGGAAACGAATGTCTCAGTCTGCTGTTCAGGATCGAAGGATGTAAGGATGAGTTGACAAGGGCGAGAAGGGTTGAGTGGTATCCAGTGAGGTTGAAGTCGGCGGGAATGCCGCGTTAAATACCAGATGGAAAGACTGAGGGGAAGTAGAAGCGGAGGGGGGGTAGCGGCAGGCAGTAGGGTTCACAAGGACGCGTGGAGTGTACTCCTGGTCACAGACAACGCGAGACAATGCGAGACTCCGAGTCAGGACCCCCAGCCCACCCCGGTAATAGGAATTTCCCGTAATTCGATAGCCATCCTCGGACTGCTAATCGGACTGCGATTCGGACTGCGAGTCGGACCGCGATTAGTCGAATTCGGTGCTCCTTGCTGCGTCTCCGACACGTGGCTGGAATCCAGGTAGTAAGGGCAACAAGGCACACCGACACCTGCGCGTCGCGTGTGCGGGGAAGTTCTGCACGCGTGCCGATAGGATTCCATCGTGGAAACAGTTTCGTCCGTCCGTCCGACTGTCCGTCCGTCCCTACCGCGCATCGCGACTCTAAGTGTCGGCGCCACAAAACGCTGCCTAAACGCAACTGCGGCCGCCTGAAGTCACCCTCCTCTCGGACTACGAGTCTCCCCGCGTCTGGTTAGACTTAGAGCCTTCTTGGCTTTACCAGTGACGTATGGTCATAATTCGACTCAAATCCAGCCGTCGACTACACAAAAGGCAAAAGAAAAGGGGAAACCCTTGTTGACCACGCCGCTGCTCGTGAGTCGTGAGCCGTTGGATCGGATGTCGATCGAAACGCCAGGCCCTTGAGAATACCCACAAAACTATCATCAGGCGAGGCTCTGGGGAATATCCCGAACTCGTGAGAGTGCAGTGCAGTATAGCGCGTTATGGTCTGGTGCGGAAAGTAGGAGGACGATGGGCTTGCAGATTTGCATAACAGGTATCTAGGTAAATCAATTTGAGCTACACTTCCGAGCGTCTAGCAAAATTAGTTCAGCTTGCTTTATTGTACTGTTGAGCAGCACACAATTATGCACACAAGCAGAAAGTGCAGCATTGTTTTACGCATATGAAAGGTTCTAAGTCCAAAATCCCTCCAGGACCTGCCCTTAAGAAGGACAGCAGCGACATTCCACAAGATTCCATTTCCAATTCAGGCCCAGCAAGATGCCGGGCCAAAAGAAGAGAGCTTATAACACACTCAAAGCATACCACTCAAAGCAAGCATCCCCCCATGCACACCTTCATTCTCCTCACGTTTCGACAAAAAATTGAACAGGGCGATCTACCCCAGCAATCCAGGGAGAATTTGGGAAAACAGTGTCAAACATATATTGTTTTGTGCTTGTAGACTGTATAGGTTTGTGCCATATAGGGTACAACTTGCTAGGTTATATTCCCCTGTACTCAGTTGTTCTAGTCATTCTCTCATTTCCACATGGTATCATGAGTAGGTTAGGTCCAGCTAGCCCGCCCGCGCTTTCGTCCTAGGACCCAGTCGCCCCCGCGCCCGTTCCTTGCCGGCCCCGCGCCCGCCCCTCGTAGGCCCCCTTGCGCCTGTTCCCAGCCGGCCCCTCGCGCCCCCGCGCGCCCGTTCCTAGCCGGCCCCTCGCGCCCCTCGCGCCCCTCGCGCCCGCTCCTAGTCGGCCCCTCGCGCCCGCTCCTAGCCGGCGTCTCGCGCCCGTCGTGCCTGTTTCCAGCCGGCCCCTCGCGCCCATCGCGCCCGTTCCTAGTCGGCCCCTCGCGCCCCTCGCGCCCATTCTAGCCGGCCCCTAGCGCTCGTCGCGCCCGTTCTAGCCAGCCCCTTGCGCCTCTCGCGCTCGTTCCTAGCAGGCCCCTCGCGCCCCTTTGCGCCCGTTCCTAGTCGGCCCCTTGCGCCCCTTGCGCCCGCTCTAGCCGACCCCTAGCGCACGTCGCGCCCGTTCTAGCCGGCCCCTTGCGCCCCTCGCGCCCGTTCCTAGTCGGCCCCTCGCGCCCCTTCGCGCCCGCCCCTAGCCGGCCTCTTGCGCCCGCTCCTAGCCGGCCCCTGGCGCCCGTACCTAGCCGGCCCCGCGCCCTCTCCTAGCCGGCCCCTCGCGCCTGCCCCTCCTAGGCCTCGCACCCGTTCCGCGCTGGCCCTGAGCTCGTTTCGTCGCCGGCCCACCTCCGACTCGTTCCCGGCCCGTTCTTGACCACCCTGCCCAGCTTTCCACCGCACTGTACCACTCAACACCGCATTGCACCGCTCTGCACCGCACTGCACAGCAGAACACCACCCTGCCTCGTTGCTGCACCGTTCCTGATGGCAGACTTCGTGCTTTGCTTTGACGCCGAGGGTCAGCCGCTCGAGTTTGACGCGTGGTTGGTCGACCTCCGCCGCCATCTCACTGGTCAGCGGCAGGATGGCCACTCGCTGTCGGTTCACCTTGACGGTACGCTTCCCTGCCCTGACCCCCCTGCTGCGCTGCCCACTGACCCCTCGTCTGCTGAGCGTGAGTCCGCTGCCGCTGCTGCCCTTGCTCGCTCAGTCTGGTTGTCGCGTGACGCTGTCTCGCAGCTTGCGATCAGTCATGCCCTTCCCCTGTCTGAGCGTCCCCGCTTTAGGTCGGTCACGACTGCGCAGGAGTTCTTAGACGCTGTTGTCCAGCGCTATTCCACCCCGCCTGCTGCCTCCGTAGGTCGTCTCATCCTTCCGATGCTCTTTCCCGACCTTGCGTCCTTCCTCACTGTCGCTGACCTCGCTGCCTACCTGCGCACGCTAGACACGACCTGGCGTGCTGCATGCACTGAGACCCAGCTGCGTGCCTTTCAGCCGCCCCTCACCTCTACCCTCTACCTGCTTGCCACTCGCCTCCCTGACCGTCTCGCCACTGCTCGTGATCACTTTCTTAGCGTCCACCCCGGTGACCTCACCCTCACTGACTTTGTTGACACCCTGTCTGCCATAGAGACCCGCCAGCGCTCTATCACCCAGACTAGCGGCACTGCGCCAGTCCCTATCTTTCAGGGTTGTGCCCCCGCTCAGTGCACCTTCTCTGACGGTTCTGCTGCTATGGCTGAGACCGCCGCTGCAGCGCAGTCCCGTCCGGGGAAGGGTCGCCGCCCCAGGGCTGGGCGCGGCGGGGGTAGCGGCGGTGCAGGTGTAGGCGGTGGTGGAGTTGGGTCACTTGGTGGTAGTGCTGACGAGGGGACCGAGACTGGAGCACCCGAGCAGTTGTCCCAGCAGCCGCAGACGTCGCAGCTGGACCACCAGCAGCAGCAGCCCCTGCACCACCAGCAGCAGCAGCCGTAGCGGCAGCAGCAGTCGCAACAACAGCGTCGGGCGGCCGGGCTCCCGCCCGGGTGGCCTGGCGCTGGAGGTGGCGGTGGGCGTGGTGGTCGTGCGCGTGGTGTGCCTCCGGATGGCAGTTCGGGTGACGGGCGCTGTCAGTATCAGCTCCTGACCGGTCCTCGCCGCGGCTCCGTTTGCTGTAAGATCGGTCACACCCCTGTCCGCTGCTTTCGTCGCCTCCACGACCTGTTTCGTCTTCGCTTCGGGCCGTCGCCCGACCTCCCTGACTCGTACAGCTTGCTTCGCCGTAGTATTCCGATTTTTTATATGGACCTGAATCAACTTAGCTCTACTTTGTATGTGTTGTCTGTTGATGACGCTAGAATGACTGGTTCTTACTACCCCTTGTTTCCTAGTGTAGGTGTATCTAGCCTAGACTCCCCTGCTGCGTCAGGCGTAGGACCCACTGCTTTGTTTAGCCTTGGTTCTTCCCTTACTACTCCGACTCCGTCCGCCGCTGCTGCGCTCTCCTTCACCCTGGACTCTGGCGCTTCTTGGTGTTTCTTTCGCGACTCCACCATACTGACACCGCTCGCCACCCCTGCCGCAGTCTCCCTTGCAGACCCCTCCTCCGGTCCGGTAGTCGCCCGTAGTTCCACCACCCTTCCCTGTCCGGCGGCTCCTTCGGGTTCCCTTATAGGCTTGCACATCCCCTCGTTTTCCAGGAACCTAGTTGGTCTTGGCTGCCTCCAGGACCTTGGCGTCACCACTACGTTCCCTGGTCATGAGCGGTTTGCTGTCTGTACCGAGGTCGCCACTGGTGCTCCCCTCACCACGTTCCCCCGGGACCCGGTGTCTGGCCTGTTCACGCTGGACACCGCGCCCCCCCCAGTTGGGACGCCTCCCCAGGTAGCTGCGTCTCCTCAGGTTGCTGCGGCCTGCTCTTGTCGGTCGCTCACTCACACGACACTCCAGTGGCACCACTGTCTAGGTCACCCTGCCCTCCCGCGTCTGCGTCACATGTGACAGTACGGTCTTGTCCTCGGTCTCCCAGGGTTGTTCCCCAAGTTGCCCCCCTCCGCTTCACCACCGTGCACGCCCTGCGTCGAGGGCCGGCTCCGCCGTGCTCCTCACTCCTCCTCATTTCCCCCCACCACCGCACCGCTGCAGACCCTGCACATGGACGTCTGGGGCTCCATGGGCCGCGTCGAGAGTGGTACTTCCTAGTGCTTGTCGACGACCACACACTCTACACCACGGTGTTTCCCCTGGAGCGGAAGGCCGACGTGCCTGACGTTCTTATCCCATGGCTAGTCTCTGAGCGTCTCCACCGCGGTCTCCCTGTCTTGCGTCTTCACTCCAACCGTGGTGGCGAGTTTGCCTCCAGTGTCCTCGGTCGCTCCTGTCGTGCGGAGGGCATCACCCAGACGTTGACCCTGCCGGACTCCCTGCAACCGAATGGGGTCGCTGAGCGATGCATCCGTTTAGTCATAGAGGTGGCTCGTACCTCCATGATCCATGCCGGTGCACCCCATTTTCTGTGGCCGTTCGCGGTTCGCTACGTCGCTCACCAGCTTAACCTGTGGCCGCACCCTCAGCAGCTGCAGGTTTTGCCGACCCTTCTTTGGACCGGATCTCCTGGTAACGCGTCTGCGTTCCACGTCTGGGGCTGCCTTACTCACGTTTGTGCCTCTGGCACGGACAAGCTTATTGGCCGCACAGTTCCCTGTGTCTCCCTTGGTTTCCCCCTTGACTCGTCCGACTGGCACTTCTACCACCCGCAGTCTCACAGTTTCTTTCACTCCCGTGACGTCACCTTTGACGAGTCCGTCTCCTTCTACCACCGCTTTCCCCACTGTGGTCTCCCGGTTACCCCCCTCCTGTTCCTGGTTCCCCCTTCCCCGATCGCTCATGCCCCTCCCCCTCCCCATCCTGCCCCGTCTGGTGTGTCTCACATCACCCCCCTCCCGTCGGTTGTCCCGATAGAGGAGTCTGCTGACTCTGGTGGCCCTGCGGCGCAGTCCTCAACGCCTGCCCCTCCCCCGGTGTCTCCTCCTCTGCCGCCTCCGCAGCAGTTGTCGCCGCAGCAGCAGCCGTCGTCGCCTCAGCAGCAGCAGTCGTTGCCGCTGCAGTCGCAGCCGTCGCCGCAGCTGCTGCAGCCACCGTTCGTCGACTCTAGGGGTGCTGGCGTTGGGGTGGGTACTCGTCCTGGGGTCCCTGTCGTGGCTTGTCTCGGCGGGCCTGGGGGTGGTACCAGTGCTGGAGGGGTTTTGGGTTTTGGTGGTGGTCTTTCTGGGGGTGCTCCTTCTGGGGGTGCTGGAGTGGAGTGGTCCGGAGGTAGCCGTGGAGCAGCTTGCGGTCCCGGTGTCGGTGTCGTTCCGTCGCAGCAGAAGTCACCGCCGATTTCAGCCCTTCGCCTGCTCGGCCTTCCGTCCCCTGACCGCGCGTCTGTGCCGTCTCCTCCTCTTCCTGTCTACGGCCTTGTCTTCCCTCCCCCGGACTCGTCCCCGGCTTGTCTTCCCCCTCGTTCCCCTCTTGTGTCCCCTCCTCTGTCTCCTGACCCGACGCCTCCGTCTCACGTCTAGTCTCGCCGTCCCTCTCATGCTCGCCCTGTCTCCCCTGTCTCGCGCTCTCACCCTATGCTGCTTCGTTCCCACGCGTCTCGTCCTCCCCTCCTCCCGTCGCCTCCTCCATCCTCTCTTGTTGTTGCGCCTCCCCCTCTGTATGACTACCTTCGTGCTGCTCGTCCCCTTGTTCCTCGGGTCCTTGCCTCTCTCGTTACCGACCAGTCTGTTCCGGTCTCGCGTCTTGACGCCCTTGTCACTGCTGTTGCTGACTTCGCCTCCACCCGCCGCTTTGACTACGCTACCGCTCTGGCCTCTGACCTTGTTCGTCCTCCGTCCGTCGGGGGTGCTCCTGCCCTTGGCAGTGACGTCCTGGAGGACCGCCAGTACGAGCTTGCTTTCCTGTCCGAGGCTGCTCCCCATCTCTGTTCCATGCTGTTAGTCCCTGAGTGTGACCCAGACGCTTTCGACATCCCGACCCCTCGCACCTACGCTGAGGCGACCTCGGGACCTTAGGCCTCTCAGTGGATAGCTGTCATGGAGCAGGAGATGGCATCTTGGAGATCCACCGGCACCTACGTCGACGCAGTTCCCCCACGTGGGGTGAACATAGTCGATGGCCGCTGGCTCTTCAAGGTGAAGCGCCCTCCTGGAGAGCCGCATGTATTCAAGGCGCGCTACGTGGCTAGTGGCTTCAGTCAGCAAGAAGGAGTGGACTTCTTTCAGACCTTCGCCCCGACCCCGAAGATGACTACTCTTCGGGCGCTGCTACACATAGCAGCACAGCATGACTACGAGCTACACTCCCTCGACTTCTCAACTGCGTTTCTTGAGGGCAGCCTACACGAGCAGTTCTACCTGCGCCGCCCTCAGGGTTTCACTGGTACCTTCCCTCCTGGGACCCAGTGGCTCCTGAGGCGCCCAGTCTACGGCTTGCGGCAGGCGCCCCGTGAATGGCATGACACGCTGCGTGCTACCCTTGCTGACCTGCAGTTCTTTCTGTCCTCTGCAGACCTCTCGCTCTTCGTTCGTGCTGTCCAGACTCTGTTCTACATCATTGTTTACGTAAACGACCTGGTCTTCGCCACTGCAGACAGGGACGCACTGGCCTTCGTGAAGGCAGAGCTGCTGAAGAAACACACCTGCACTGACCTAGGAGAGCTGCGCCACTACCTTGGCTTGCAGATCTCCAGGGACAGAGCAGAGCGATCCATCACCCTCACCCAGTCACACTTGGTGCGCCAGGTCCTTCAGAGGTTTGGCCTTCAGTTCTCCTCCGCACAGCCCACTCCTCTGCCTATAGACCACAGGCTCTCTACTTCAGTTCCAGAGGAGTCAGTAGAGCCCTGTGGTCGTTACGCTGATCAAGTGGGTTGCCTCATGTACCTGATGACTTGCACTCGCCCAGATCTCACATACCCTCTAAGGATCTTGGCTCGCTTTGTGGCCACAGGCAGACACCGACCTTAGAACTGGTATGTGCTAAGGGGGTTTTGCGTTATCTAGCAAGTACATCGGGCATGGAGTTAGTGCTAGGAGGACGCAGGCTAGTGGTCCTTACTGGGCACACAGAGGCTTCGTGGGCAGACGACGCTGAGACCCTCAGGTCCTCGCAGGGCTACTGCTTTAGCCTTGGTTCAGGTGCCGTCTCGTAGAGAGCTACTCGCTCCTCGTCTATTGCTCAGTCCAGCTGTGAAGCCGAGATCTACGCCAGTGCCATGGCAGCACAGGAGCTCCGTTGGCTAACCTTCTTGCTCACTGGCTTAGGTGAGTGGCCTAGCTCTGCCCCGGTCCTATACGCGGACAACAGGGCCATGATCCTCTCGTGTCAGGAGCCACGAATCGAGGGCAGAGCGAAGCACATCCAGGTGCGGTACTTCCTCCTGCGTGAGCTACAGCAGTGCCGCCAGGTTCGCGTAGTACACTTGGCCTCCGTTGCCAACACAGCTGATATCTTTTCGAATGCGCTTGCGCCTAAACATCATCAGCGGCACAATGTACAGCTAGGTCTTGTTCCTGTAGCCTCTCACTTGCTAGGGCCTTGATTGTGTACATTCCTTTATATATATTTTACCCTGACTGGCCTTGTGGCCTCTCCCAGTGGCTGGACTAGTAGTGCCGCCCTGGTCTTGTTTTTGTCTTTGTGTGTACTCGTTGATTGGTCTTTAGACCCTTCTCTCAGAGGTTGGACTAGTAGTGCCACCCTGAGCTGTTTGTTCTCTTGTCAGGCATTGTCCCTATACAGTCTGGGGGTGTGTCAAACATATATTGTTATGTGCTTGTAGACTGTATAGGTTTGTGCCATAGAGGGTACAACTTGCTAGGTTATATTCCCGTGTACTCAGTTGTTCTAGTCATTCTCTCATTTCCACAATCACATCCTCTTCGTCCCTTGGAACAGCAGCAGCGAATAACCAAGCCCCTCATCTTCAGAAATTTGTGAGTAGCCATGGCCGCTGCTGCTGCAGCTGCTGAGTCCACTAGCAGTGCCACTGATCCTGTCACTGTTCACTCCACACAACCACTGCGAATCCTCCTGTGCTGCCATGCCTGCTCCTCCTGCCCCTTCCCACAGCCGTCTGGAGCACTCGTGCAACACGAGCGGGTGGTTGAGGCAGCCACCCAGGCTGTCACAGGATCGAATGTCTGGAGGAAAGGTTTGCTCAATGTTCACTATCAATCAGTACAAGGTGCTTTTATACTTCCAGAATACATCAGGTAACCATGTTTATCCTATCCAAAGGAAATAGACCCTTCTAGAAATAGAATCACCCTGCGTATAGCCACGCGAGGCTATTGGCTTTAAGGGATTACGGCAGGATTACGCTAGATATAGCGCGCCAGTACATCCCAAGCCTGGTCGGTGATATAATTATAATAACAGGATAAACCAAAGGATAATGGCAAAGGAGGAATAGGAAACCAAATGAGATGAGATAAAGACCAAATGAATGAGGATAAAAAGAGAAATGAAATAGAAAGGAAATATGGAAAGGGGAAATTAGTGTAACGGGGTCGTACTCTCACACTCCCCCCCTCAAAGCTGGGTGGTAGAAGTAACACCCTGCTTGACAAGGTTGTCGCGAAGAGGACGATGGGCATTACCCATGTCGAGTTCACAGACGTAGCGTCAGAAGGATCAAAATCCTTCGACCAAAGAAGAAACTCCAGAGTGCCATTCTGACAACGACGGTGTTTGCGCACGTAATTGTCCCATGGCGTGGATGAACACAGGCGGCGGCGGTGGTTGGCATTCGTTGTAAAGCGTGTTTGGTCTTGATAGGATTTAAGAAGCTTGTATGGAAGGTGTAATGGAACTTCCAAGTGGCTGGTAGGCGGAAGCGAAAGGTGAATGAAGTGACCGTTGCTTCAAAGAGGAAAGGCCCGTTGAAGCGAGGTCGCAGTTTGGATGGAAGATGACCGATATCAAGATTGCGCGTGTCGAGCAGTACTCGGTCTCCCATGGTGATGGTGTGGTCAGGTGGTGTCCGTAACAGAAGAAGTACAGTGTCTGTCCAGTAGCGGTGTCAGGAGCATACTTGTAGGCAAACTCCAGGACGGGCAGATGCAAGTCGGAGTTGGAGATGTGAATGGTTGGAACAGTGTGCTGTAACGTGTAGATGAGTGTCTATGTTGTCCGATCTGTGCATGCTATTACCCGCATCTGGTCCACGTGTGAAGATCACCAAGTGTTGGTGGTATGGCAGTTGTGTCGTAGTACTGCTTCTGTAGCAGTGTTGTATCCGTTACATGCAGCTTCTGTCGAATGATGGTCCATGCCGTAGTGTTGTCGCGAGTCGTACCCACTCGGTATCGTAGTGCCGCGGAATGGAGAGCATAATCACTAGTAGTAACCCTGTCCACCACGCGGTCTGCTACTCACATTGCCTTGAGTACAACAGCGCATGCGAAGTGCTGCTCAGCGTATCCCTTGTGTTCAGAACCATGCGAGGGGTTGGTACCACAAACGCGGAGCTGGTAACTTCCAGAATCGGCGCCAAAGTAGTTTCCCTCGGTGGTTGCTCAAGCAAGGAATCTCTGCTGCGTAGATATCCCACAGTGATGGGTTAGGACCTCTGGGAATATTAGGGGTATTCCCAAGAAATCCTCTCCCATTTCCAGATGAGCATTGCTGACAGCCAATCCAGTATGACCTTATGCACGTCCAGTTTAGCACGGAGGCCATCGGTAGGCATCGGTGTCTGGGCGCACATATTGGGATAGGTCTTCTAGTGCCATCATGTGTTGTCTCATTCTGTTACTGTCCTTGATGTCGAAGAAGTCTCAGCTACTCAGCATCGGTGTTGAAGTCTGCTCCATTTCGGCAAACAGGGGTGTTGTTGGAGATCCGCGGAGTCCACTGTCCGGAGTGGCGTCGGCGCTCCATTCCACGCCTATCTGCTTCCGTGGAGTTGGTGCTGGTAATGGATTGGTTGCGACGCAAGTTTTATGACTTTAAGGAAAGCCATAAGCCATGAGGACTGTATACCGGTAGAGTACCGTGGTCCTCCCATCCTCATAAGAGCAAATATCTCCTCCTCTTGAGGGTGTATGGCATTGCCATAGCTTTTGTTTCCTCGCATAGTGGTATCTCCTCCCCATTAGCTGGAAATCATAGTATTGTGCCTGGCCGTGACTTTATGATCCACTGGAATATAATCCAGCATTATCTCCATTGAGTGGAGAATCCATCAACTCCCTCTTCCCAGTAGAGTGTTCCTGATGGGTATAACAGGCGTAACTACCAGGAACACGTGCAGATTAGTACACATGTGTTGCTCCATTGCTGCCGGTGATTGTTTCATTTGAGGGTGTGAAGAGAAATTTGCTTCTCCCCTCAATGTATCCACGGTTAGCAATTCCTGGTATGCTCATCCGTGCCTCCGATGTACGGTCGGTAGAGCGCGTGATCGTGTTGTAGTAGTCCGCATCTCCCTCATTTGTTGACACCTCGTGTTGCTTGACGTTCTCCTGCATCGTCGAAGTTACGTTGGTGCTTGTAACGCTTCGGCTTCTGGTAGAATCGCCTCCAATGCATGTGCCGTAAGGTCGCTAGTGAACGAGTACTTGCCGGATTAGAGGTTAATTACTCCTCAATTTGTCAAGCCTCGTGACGTGCACGGAATTTTCTTCCACGTAGGTCATTAACACCTGGAATCGCGACGCATGATTGGTGTGTCGCCTCGTGAGGTCGATGTTGAGACTGCTCCAATCAATCACCTCGGATGGCTGAGATTCTTGATGAAGACGAATCGTTCAGCTCCTGTTACAAAGTAGTGTCTCGCTGGCCTTGACGAGACGGGTTCACTGCGTCGTCGTTGCGTGCGAAATCTGCTCCTTCGCAGCAACTTGAACTTGGGAGCATTGCAAGAGAAAACGACTACTTCTTTGCAATCCCATAGCTTGTCAATCAATTTGTATGAAGAAGTGTCTCGTGGATGGAGAACATGTCTTCACGCAGCTCCATTGTTTTTCCAGGGTGAAGATCCCGTCGTGTTGATGTCGATCTATTTTTAACGAAGATGACTTCGCCAAAATAAATAGATCGTTATCGACACTAGTTAGAAGATGCGTCGATTGTGCAGTCGCTGGTCACGAATGTTGCCTCCATAATGATGATTTCCCATAGTGTCGTTTCCGCTGCATTCGTGCCGTTGATTTCGCACCGATCCGACGATCCACGTTCTCCTGTCATTTTTCTGCATGCAGATATTACCAAGTAGGTAATACTCTGGCAGATTTCTGACTCCGCAGATGATTTGCGCGCCAAATTCGTCACCAAATGAAGAAATTCGAATCTGGTTGTCCAGATGATGTCAGCGGTGTCGAAAGCGGCTGATGTTTTGTTCTGCGCGTCAATCTCCCTTTGTGTAGAAGTCGCGCTCCATCTCGTCCGTTGAAGTAGAAGTCGATCCGACGGTCCAAACTCCAAGCGATCTGAAGACATTCCTGAGTCCCGTTCAGCAGCTTTCGGTGCACGGGTCGACTCGTTTCCTGCAGCAATTTTCGGTCGTCGATGTCGGCTGTCGATCGATCCAACGCTCCGAAGAATTTCGCGGCTTGCGAGGTCCCGTTCCCATTCGCGCCGAAACTCGAACTCGCTCAGCAGGATTTCGTTTTCGCCTCGGTCGATCTGAAGCATCGAATCCCCATCGGACGGATGTCGTTGGTCGCAGCTGTGCAGATTTCCGCGCAACTCTGAGTGTCGTGGCGAACTGCGAACTTCTCCGAATGTCGCAGGGGATGTTCCGCCGGAACTGACGCGCTCGCCAGGTCGAGGCCGTTTGCCCCCGCGAAAAATCGGCTCCGTCGATGCAGTCCATCGAACGGTCGGCGAGGCATCTCGCCTTCGAAGGGGACCCCATGTGCAACTGCGCGAGGTTAGTCGAAACTTAAACGAAAGTGCATTGTACTTACAGGAATTGAAGTTTCGACTCCATCCTCGGCATGCTCCTGGGGGCCCAGCGGTTAAGCGTTGAGCTGAAACCTTGGCTCTGATACCAAGTGTCACAGGATCGAATGTCCCGAGGAAAGGTTTGCTCAATGTTCACTTTCAATCAGTACAATGTGCTTTTATACTTCCAGAATACATCAGGTAACCAGGTTTATCCTATCCAAAGGAAATAGACCCTTCTAGAAATAGAATCACCATGCGTATAGCCACGCGAGGCTATTGGCTATAAGGGATTACTGCAGGATTACGCTAGATATAGCGCGCCAGTACATCCCGAGCCTGGTCGGTGATATAATTATAATAACAGGATAAACCAAAGGATAATGGCAAAGGAGGAATAGGAAACCAAATGAGATGAGATAAATACCAAATGAATGAGGATAAAAAGAGGAATGAAATAGAAAGGAAATATGGAAAGGGGAAATTAGTGTAACGGGGTTGTACTCTCACACAGGCCGTCTTTTCATGTGATTGTGCCTTCAAGCGACTCACCTTACACGTCTTTCGTGCTCACCAGGCAGCAGCTGCCAACCCCGGCTGTTCGAAGGCTTGCGTGCATTCGCTACCGACGAAGCAGAAGCTGCTGTACAAGACGAGGCAGTTTCTGAGGCCTCCGAAGCTGCTGCCACAGACATTCCCGAACCTGTCACGTCATCTGGCATCCCGGAGTTTATTCCACTCGCTGATGCTGACCCGGATGATGTTCGCGAAGTACACCTCTGTTACGAACTGCTGGAACCGACTACATTCTACCCGTCGCTTATGTCGACGACATTCTCTATGTTAGCACGACTGAATCACTCGCCAACATCTTCGTACAGAAACTACAGAAAAACCTACGGCTCACCGTCTCCGAATCTGTCTCACAGTCTCTCGGATTGAACATCACCTGCTCATCCACGTCTATTCATCTAACTGCTTCGAAGTGCGCAGCTACGCTTGCTGACCGCTTCAACCTCACCCCTACCACAGTCACTACACCGCACCGTTCCCTACTGACAGATCACAAACCGAATACTACACAACTGAGTCTCACTTATCTACAGACTTATCAACAGCAGTTAGGCTGTCTTCTTTTCGCCGCCGTTACTTGTCGTCCGGATCTAGCCTATGCGGCTAGTC